AACACATGTATTAAATTTTTATTCCAGAATTTGTGAGGAAATGAGCCAAAGATTAGAACGTCTCGAATTAAAAGTTGAGTAAGTATCCATGTAGAAGCAATCAGTTACAATAACAGCATTGTAGCTTACAAAATATAAATACATCCAAACATTTCAGGGCCAATCACCAAATGATGTCACGATTAATTTCAACAAAACGAGGAGGGACAAGAGCAGAGCCACAGTTTTTGCCATTTAAAAATCTTCCAGATCTTCTTAGCTTTAACCATGTGGATGATAATACGTTCGAAGAATTGGTAAATAATAATTGATTCTTAATATTTCATTTATTAGAAATCTTGGTAAATAAACCCATCTGTATAAATAAATTTTGTTGTCACTGTAAATGCAGGTAAATTACCTAGTGTACCTAGGAGGTGTTAATGCTGTAGATTGCGCAGCGATCTATTTTAGGCATGTTTTTTCTGGGGATGAAGAAGTATCACCGCACATTTCATGGCTTGGAAAACCGTCACTGAATCTAACCGCTCTATCCCGAACAAAATTTGCCGACGCCTGTGAAGGTTTGCTCTGCATAAACGTTAATTTCGATAATTTTTTGTTTAACACCTGATTTAATTAAAATTATCAATCTCATTTTTTTACCTTATATCTTAAAACTAAACTGATTTTTTTTTTCATTGCCATTAATTTTTTTATACATCGATGATTCACAGCATTTATTTTTATTGATTAAATAATTATTCTAACATGGATACACATTAATGCTCAACAAAATATAATATTCAGCAATTACATGTTTTTCTAAATTTTACATTCGTTGAATTTCCTTCAAGATAAACATGACATCCTATACAATATTTAAAACTTTAAATTTTTCATGTATTTTGTATTTTATTTTTGTTTTATAAATAGAGGCAATGAAAATCAACAATAAAATAGGTAGCAACCGAGGTGATTTTGTGGATGGAATGTCAAAAGCCTTAAAAAGTTTAAAAGAAAGGAGACGAAGAAAATTTTTAACTCGCAGTATAAGAGAGAATTTAGAAGATGAAAATATTGAATTAGATGGCCTAAATGACCAAGAAGAAATAAATGAAACCCAATATGAGGAAGAAGAATTAGGAAATTACCGTGAGAATAACGAAGTTGATAATGCCGAGGAAATTGATGAGCCAGAGGGTGAAAATAATGAAGAAGATGAAGTTGAGGAACAATTTCCATCAGATACTTTTGATGTTTTTGATGAACCTTCTCCATAAAAAAAAAAAAGTAAGTCTAATTAATAAAATCAATTTTAATAAATTTTCTTTCAATAATTGTTACATGGTTTTGCTCATGAAATAAATTATTACAGGGTAAGCTCAAACTTCTATAAATCCTGAAAACGAGATTGGAGTTAACTTTATACTTCATTGTGGCAGTGCACTTTAATTTAAGTTTCAGTTTTTTTACTCAACTTTATTTATGTATCATACTGTGAACAAACATTTGTGATATTATAATTTTAATTATCGCATAGACATACGGTTTTGATTATCTTGTAAAATACAGTGCAACATTGCTGTACTTAAAAATATAAATTATTTTATATGTTACAACTTTTTTTTTTATTTACAAAATGTAATACCCGCAGTAATTATTTCCTAATAAAAAGAGGTTATGTCGGCTACACACGGCATGCATACCACCTCGCGTGAGCGCACACTGCAGCCTTGGTGTACGCACAATGCAAGCAGTCTGACAGCACGACGTGCTCTTTCCACACCATGGTTGCAGTGTGCGCTCAGAAATTACGACAGCTGGACGTCACGGTGCTGCCACGCGTGCTACACGCTGTGCTCCACGATGCGGTCACAGTGCCGTCACGATGCTATCTGGGTAGAGAGAGACGAAAATGATAGCAGCAATCGATATGTTCATGTACAAGTTCCTCAAACACGACTCATGCTGAGAGAGCAAATGTCGGGGTCTGCACTCTAGGGAGTCGGGCACAAGGACTGTGCGGGATTGTTATCCATTGGATATCTATAGTTCACGCAGTAGGGGTAAGTGTACATATTTCCGTGGTCTGCCCTATTACCGTGCATTTACAAAAATGCTGTTTAATTTTTGAAAAAGTGTAATAGCGGTCGCAAAAAAATTATTTGATATTAATATCATTATATTAATATATGTTAGCAACAAAAAAAGTTGGTGTTCACATAAAAGTACGTTAATATCAGAGCAAACAAAAAATGGCTCCAGAAGAAAAAATATTACATACTGCTAATTGCTTATAATTTTTCTTACGAAAAAAGTCTAAGCTGAGGATTATATTTAAATAAGAGTTTTCATCACTTAACGTATGATATACAAAACTTATGGTAAAACAGGAAACAGGTCAATCTCTTACTTGGTCACGGACGAGAAAAATATTGCTCGGAATATGTATAACAGCAATATTATCTTACCCCCTTGAGGTAAAGTTATCCGTAAAAGTAATTTGTAGCCATTCGTACCCAGTTTGTACATATTTTGGTTTGACATTCGTTTTTTCTTTTTATCTGTTTTTTTTAATCGGGCACTGCCTATGTACTGTATAGGACAAAGCTATTTATTGATTTCTCGCGTTTGCATAGTACTAAAGTAAAAATGGTTTCGTTCAAGCAAACGTATTTTTGTCGCAAGGTCAATTTGATGGCTTGATTATTGCATGACGCGGTTGTTTTTTCACCAACGAAACCAAAAATCGAACTTTGATTGGTGGGCACTTTGAGTTTTTCACAGAAAATAATCAATAACACGGACGAGTCATTCCAAAAGACGACCATTCATATTTGTGTCAACAATAACTTTAGTTTTCAAAATTGTTGATTTTTCTCTTTCAATTTATACCATTAGGCTTATGAGAATTGTAAACTTAATTGTCTTATTATATATTTCTGAATAAATTCCACAGACTTTTTAAATACTCGTCATCTTTTTAAAACTCCCATTGAAATTTTTAATATAATCAAGACCTCGCCGTGATAAACTCAATATATCAATGAAAAACAAAAAGATCCAATAAAAGTGCTCCTCCTCTTGATCATATACTGTCTTTTTCGAAGTAATAAAATATAAAGCACGATTTCTTTACACCCTCGCCCTTATGTATTTTTAGGTGATGTCGGGATCAGCTCGTATTTATTGTTATTCTACGGCTAAAAAAAACTTCAATTTTTATTTGTAAGTATTTTAGGCTGCACACAGAGAATAATCAACAACATTAAGACGTATCTATACAAAAACAAAGCAAAAGATGTAAAGATGAAAGGCCTCAGCACTCGTAGTTTGCTAATACAGCTTATCAACAATTACTCAGATATTTAAAAAGAGCTGAGAAGTGATAATAAATTGTTATTATTTTAACAGGTACCTAGTGTTTTCAAAGGTAACATTTCTTTGGAATGGAACAATTTGTGTCTAGATTTTGTCTCGAAAATATTCAATGCAAAAATTTGGTTACACAAAGTTTGAAATATAGGATTACGCTTTTTTAAAGTAGTATCACATTTATTTTACCTAATAAATAAAGGTACTTATGTGACAGTTAAAAAATATTATGCAAAATCTGTGACCCTTACTTGATATATTTTAATCGATACGGTAAAGTTTTTTTAAGACGCTATTAAAAAATTGTTTTGTAAGATACCTGAGTACTGAACATCTTTTAATAAGATTAAAGAGTAGAACACATTCAATATTTTATAATTTATTGAAAGAGTTTCGTCGACATACTTGAAAAAAAGGACTAAAATTATGAAAAATATAATGAACAATTATTTATGTGAAAACGACTATAAAAAAACTTAACTAACATTTTTTAATAAATATACATATAATATGAGTGCATGTGTTTGTGTGTGTATGTGTGTGTAAATTGGCTGGTACTAAAAAAAGGTTTCTTTGGATTAGAATATTATTTAACTTACTGATTAATATGCCAACCGACATTATTCGTTTTATCTAACTAATCCAATGAACAAACAAAGAGTGAATTGTACATTAAAGTTAAGTTACAGGCCACAGTATGACAAAAAGTCAGATGTAGCCTTAAAGGATTCGTTAATAGTGAAATAGCTCGTAAAATACTAGGCTTACGTAAAGGTCACCTGTTCATTCGTAACAAAATAAAAAATTTAAACTTAATAAATGTCAAAGCTTAATTTAAAAGATTATAATCTCTTAAATTTTGAAATTATGTCAATAAAGTGTGCCTTATTAATTTGAAGTATTAATCATTTTGATTAAAATTACCCAAGCCAACTTAATAAGTAAGGAAAGCTGCCTCTTGACACTTTCAAGAAGCTGCTTGTGTACGGTGAGAGAGCAGCTCTTCTAGGTGGATGAGAGACACTACAATAGAGCAATAATAGCATGGCTCTTCTGTATCTAAAGGAGTATTTCTCACCAATTATCTTCCGGAACAGTGCGCGCAGCGTTAGTCATTAACTCTAATAGTCCAACTGCAGTAAGCAACGACAGCGTTTAGTATTAGTACAAGCAGTGATTGTTGCACCGCCAGCTGTAGAAGTAGCACACAGAGCGCATATCAAATTTATACAGTAATCAGTTCGATATTCTTTAACCACCGTTGTCGACTCTGTTAAAGCGGCAGTTTGAACGATTATTTGTATTCGAATTTCTTGTACTAAATTATCATGATTGATGAGGAAATACCTAAGTATACCGAAGAAAAATTACTTGCACACATTGATTACATTACAAGGAATGCTACTGCTTCACGATCTCTTCCCCGTGCAACTTCTAATAATAAAAAACTCGTCTTACCAATTTATCAAAGCTACGGTGACAACAGTGCCTCCAAAGTTAAGGCACACAAGGTAAAAGACCATTTCTATATTGAATTATTACGGGTTCTTTATCGCGGGTTACGATGGGATAATATAGACTTTCCGTGTATTTCCTAAGTATAAGAATGGTTGGGAACGGAGACCCATCAGGCAAAAAGTGTAAGAAAAATCGTGCACTTTTCGAGAGGAGGCGCACTTTTACAAAGGGTAGGCGTAACAAAGATAGAGAGAGAGAGAAGAAGAGAGCCAGCCATCGCAGGGATCTGCATAAATGGCAGATTGATGTAGAATGTCAGTATTGATAAAATCAGTAATTATAAAATAGTATAACCAACCAATATTAAAAAATACGCTAAATCTCAAAAAAGAAATAAGATAAATCAAAAATATCGAGTTTTACGGATTTCTTTTGGGGAAAATAACATCGTGACACACAAAGAAATAGGCGTTGAGTTATGTAAAGACATTACCTAAAATATCCGGCCTTTAAATATTTTTTCATAAAATCAAAATGGAAAATTAGTGAGAAAATTGAAGCATATTTCCAGAATTGTTACAAATATGTAGAATTTATTTCTTTTTTTTTGCCTAACAATAACCTTAAAAATTATTTTTTTAAATTTCTTTAGCCTTTTATCTATAAAAAGTGTACAGGAAAGACATAAATATACCACCGTAACCAACGAAAAAAAGAGGGACTCCTAGTCCCACACTCTGGTTTTTTTAATTAACTCTATGTAATTTACTGGTCAATATTTTTTGTAGGAAGATTTTTATAAAGAGGTAGACTGCGCAGGATTTGCTCTTGAAGAAATTAACGTATTTGTAAGTATCGTTTAGTTTTATTCGTCACACATCTAATTTAAATGATAGATAAAAGAACAAAAAAAATTATTAATAAAAATGACATAACATGAAAAGCAAAAAACAAACTCAATAAATTTTGTTTCAACTTTAGGTCGAAGACAAATTAATCGTAGTCGAGGGTATACATAAAAATATTCAAGATGAGCACGGTAACGTCTATAAGAACTTGTCAAAGACGTTTCCCGTCTCTGAAACCTACGACTTCAATGATGCTAAAATAACCTTAGTCTTGGACGGTACATTAACTATCTACATTCCTTGTAAGGTTGAGCCATTAGCGGATTAGAACTGTACCGTCAAAAGTCCATACAAAAATGAACCAAGTGGAGAAATATAACTTCAGTTAGAAGGATAATATTCTAATGGTATTTCATGATTTCATCTTTTTATAGTTTCAAATAAATGATAAAAACTACGAAAAGCATTTTATATTTTTAATGTTGTTGATATATATATAACCATATCATGTCACTTGTATACACAAATTCATGCAATAAATACACTCATATAAAATGGTCAAGCTTTATAGCGTGTATTGATAAGTCCTCTAGCAGAGCATACTGACTAATGTCTTTCCGATTTCATTTGTATAAAATATTTGACATAATCATGTAGTTAAGGAAAAATTGTTTATTACACGTTTCTAATACGAGACACAGTAAGCTTTTTCTAAAAATAGGCAACAGATCTCCTAATGAAATATTACCAATTATCATATTTCACATGAGAAAAGAAATAAAGGCAAGCAACAATAAAGTAACGAATTAATAGAATTTTTCTGTTACATTTAAACATGATAATATTTGTACATAATATCCTGAGGCAAAACCGACAAGTCAACAGCACAGGTAGTTTAAACTTATTTGTTGAAAGTGTGGCATTGAATTTTAAGTGAGGTAACAAGGTCAGATTATTTTATTAATTTCACAAGATTCTAAGATGTATATTATGGTACAAGGATGTAACATGACAAGGGATGGCCTCGTCTACCACTACATGTGCGGTTACATAATGCCGACGCCTGTCCTCCCCCCAGCAAATCTATTGGTGCGGTGTAGGATTTTAATGCTTCTTGCACGACAATTTCCATAGATTAAACTTTTCCATAATTGATTTTTGTTATCCTATGTGTGTCGCGCTACTCGATAAAGGACAGTGCTTTTTTTGTACAGTAAAAAAATGGAAAAGGGTATATTTCAGCGCAATGGCCTTCCTGTTGCCAATAAGGTCCCCTCTTGCTTAAATCGGACTAGAGTCGCCACTTTTTTTCATATGTTTTTAATAGAAATGTACTGCCCCATGAGTTACGGTTTCCTGCTATTACTCAGGCCTCATAGTCTGTCTTGACGGGTTTACCATAACCACCGCGCTGGGAAGGAACGATGCACATGGCCAGCCCCAGAGAACAGCCTGTGAGTAAACCTATTACATGTCATTGTAGTGTGTCAGTGTAGTAAATGCTCTGGTGGAAAAGTTGTAAACGTCACTGTTTCTTAAACAAAGTGGGGTGGAATGCTATTTGGTTCGACGCCCCCTCATACGATCCAAGCTGCCAGCAGCGGGATCTCCGTC